TACAGTGCAATGAATTTCAGTAGCCAGCACCACTTGGCCTCTCTCCTGTGCCTGCTCACTTATGAGAGGATAATGAGAGGTATCTATAATTAGGTTGGATGTTAAGGAGTTCCAGAATTAATTAAACTGAAAGCTGGTAATGAAAAAAAAGTCTACTCTCAGACGTCCGAATGATTTAGAGGCAAATTGTTTCAATTGAGTAAATAAAAAAGAGACAAACTAAAGGATTAAGTCTGCTTTGACTTCAATACAAAAAGGGTTATTTTATAATCTTTCTGCAAACATACCATTTTAGAAACCAGAAGGAAGGGTGCTGATTGAAACAGGAAATGTGTGGCTTGTTGGGTGGAAAGGGATGTATTGACATTTTCACACAGAGAGACATTCTCACGGAGAGCTACACGGAGTATTTTGTAATGCTCAAGTTTAAGTAATGGAGATGCCCACCTGAATTTTTAAGAAAAATAACTTCTCTTCCTTTGCTGCACAACCTAAGAGTAACATCTCCAGTTATAGATTGCTTGGCTTTGAATAAGAAACAGATGTTGCCTAAGGGAAAATATCTGTCCCACATTCTGCTTGGGTCATTTGGCAAGGAGCCAGTGGACTTGTTTCACCTGGATGAAGATACCAATTATATCATTGTCTGGTTGGAAGTCTTTACATTGCCTGGAAAATACAATAGATACATTTTTACTCTTACAGTTTGAATTACCAAGCAGTTAGTATTTACTGAATTTGCTTCACTTTTAAACCTCATATTTAATACAGTGCCTATTCCTTGCTCATATAGCACAATTTGGCCTATTATGGTTCATCGCAGTCAGCCAGATGTTCAGACACGATTTGGCATTTTTATTATTAAAATTTACACACTACCCAACTCCCAGAAACTCCGAGTGGTTTGCAAATTATTTAAAATATTAAAATGAGACATTAGAAACATCAGGAAATAAGGATAACGATGGCAGGATGATAAATTGAGTGGGAATAGGAGGTCTTACTGATCCTCTTCAAGACCCTTCCAAACACCAGCAGGGTGGGGGCCATTCAACTCTCAGGGAGAATTTTTCAAAATGTCATTGAAACCAGAGGTTTCAACAGAGATGGAAATAACAGAAATATTGACTTCTGACTAAGGTAAGAGATATTATGAAACAAAAACAATTCACATAATAGAACATACCACCTGTTTAATACTGGTTAGATAAGACTTTTCCCAACTTGATGTCTCTAGGATTCCTTAATTCCCAGACAATTTGGCTATGCTAGCTAAGAGAACTGAAATCCCTGCATGTAAAAGAAAAACATTGGAAAGGCTGGATTAGAATAACTTCCAATAGATCCAGAATCTAAAGGGTTTGTCTTTGATTGTTTCTTCTTATCAATATCAGGCAATGAAATCAGTTAATGGCCCCTTTACATTGAAGAGTTTTTCAAAAGGTGGCATTCAAACACACACACACACACACCCCACACATACACAAACACAAAAAGCCCCCCATCAAAACTAATAGCCAGTTCAACCTTCCCAATCTGGTATCTTTCAGATATTGAACTTCAGCTTCCATAATTCCAAGCACAGCTGTTGACTATGCTGAGATTTATGAGAGACAAATTAGGACTAAAGTACTAAATTAGGTGTGACAGATCTAGCATCTAAAAGCCATAACCTGGAATGAAACAACTCATGTACTTAAAATATTTAATACTCTGACAACTGATGTAGTTGAGTTCACTCATGGGGTCCGTTGGGTTAATGTAAAGTGATATCATATACTGTACTTACAAAGAGAATATGGGAAGACCAGAGACAGGTACAGGGATGCCATAGAGAAAATGATCAAGAATTATTTTCCACCAGCACTAAGTCCAGAAATAATGGATGAGATTGCAGCTTTTTATATTTTGCTTATATATAAAAGAAAAAATTCCTGAGAATGAGATCTGTTAAACACTAGAATAGTCTATTTTAGAAGCTGTGAGTTCTCCATCTCTGGAAATTTTAAGAGGCTACATGGCCAGCTCTCAAGGATGATTTATTAGGTTTTCCTGCACATTGCAGAAGGTTGGGAAAGATTATACTTATGATCCCTTCCAAATCTACAATTATTTAGTTCAATGATTCTGTACACAAATAAGAACAAAGTCATTCTATTATTTGATATCCAATAATGAGGTAATTTAAAGAGTAACTGAACAAGCAATCAATTGTGGTATAGATTTTTTAGAGCATGTAGAAACAACTCAGGACAATATATTTTTTCTACCACTAGAAAGAGTGTGGGAAGCTATAGGTTGGGCACATCCTTATCACCACTTGGGTGAGAAATCAGCACATTGGATTTCGTTAACACGTCAAGTACATATGGGAGAATGTTCCTATGGGACACTGTTGCCATCCTGTGGTCATTTATGTCTACTTTTCACTATGGCATAGTGTGATTTTTGAGGTCCCTTAGAATTGACAATGAAGATACAAAAGTGGTGGATTTCTGCTTTTTATTGTCAAACATCAACAGTAAAGGAACAAGCAGTCAAGAAATATGCCATAGATTAGCACTTGGTTGAGTAGCCATGAAGGCCTTGGAAAAAGATATTTTAATGCCATGATGTCTCTGCATACAAAAATGAGAATCATGCAATTATCCCTATGAGACTTTATGGAAATGAAAGTTGGACTTTGAAGAAGAGGAAAGAATATTGATACTTTTGAACTTTGAAATTGGGGAACAGACCTGAAAATATTATGGACAGCTAATGCCTTAGTCAAACCATGCAGAAGGACTCTTGGACAACCCCAAATATCCTCCCAAAACCAATGGGATCCATCAGGTATCTGTTTGGATCAATCTAACATATTCTTGCTTGTTGCAAAGGGATCCCACACAAAACTTCACAATTAACAAGAAACAACCTGTCCAATGCAAAAGAAAATTTCCTGATCATACCACCACTGCTCTGAAACAAAATTCGTATCTGGAGTGTGAGCCTTTGATAACTAGGGCAAAGTTCTTGGATGCCACAAATCTGTTTCTAATCTGCTTCTGACTCCATGATGAAGGAAGGCAGATTGAAGTCTTCAAAGATCTGGAGAACTCCAATTCTAACCTAGTTATGATATCCAGCAGTTCAGGTAGGAAGGTATTACAGGGGTCTCCAACCTTGGCAACTTTAAGACTTGTGGATTCAACTCCCAGAATTCCTCAGCCAGCTTGGCTGGCTGAAGAATTCTGGGAGTTGAAGTCCACAAGTCTTAAAGTTGCCAAGGTTGGGGACCTCTGAAGTATTACACAGCAGGAAACTTGGTACAGTATCAGCAAGCCATCTGATTCCTAAAGCTCAATTTCAAGAACAGTATTTTACAACACCATCCCTGAAAACCACAAGTCTCCCAAATAACAATAGCCACTTCCTAATCCCAGGACTGCAACTGATGTTGCTCCCAAAATCAGATAGGTACATTTCTAATAGCAGCTCCCCTCATGTTCAGTCATAACTGCTATGTGGAAAACTATATAGCATAACCTTTAAAATTGTCTTTGAGGCCTACGGTCAAGCTTGATTCAGAGGTTTTACTTATATTTAGAAATACATTCCTCCACAAGTTTATGCCTTTACTGCTCTCACCTTTCTTTCTATAAGATTAATACTTAGAGCTAATTTTTTATCTAAAGTAATACCAATAATATCTTTATAGTACTCTAACTTATACCAGCCTTTTAATTACCAATATTTTGTAGTCAATTCAATTTTAAAATGTTACCACTCCCTATTTCTTTTAATAAAATTAATACAAATAAAGTTCTTACATGAAAAATATATAAGGAATGCTCATAGGTTCAAAAGCAACCCTATTTTCCTCTCCATCTCCTAAAATAGTTTATATTGTTTTGATCAAGTAAGATACAAATGGAGGTTAATAGTAAAAAAAGAAACATGTTTTTCCCCTGAAACGTCCTATCCTCTTTAAATTGTGTATTCTTGCATTCCAGTTCAGTCATAAATTCCATCATCTATATCTCCAGAATAAAAATGTCCAGGGAACTGCACATCTAAGGAATCTTCCACATTTAATATTGTAGCTATTTATTCACACTCAGACTATTAGAGAAATTCCTTATATATATGAACACAATTTTTAATGTTAAGTAAAGGATTTAGAAATATGTAAGAAAGCCTGGTGAATATCTAATAGGTAGTTGCAATTATTTTCAACTACCTTTTCAGTTTGATATTACTGGGTAACTGATATATGGTTAAATAAACATATTATACAGAAATGAATCCTGTATTTTACATTTTCATCTCTATTAAATACACCAGGTATAAATGATGTTAGATTACTGTGAACATATGCTGCCAAGTACTAAGGTCAGTCCCAAACCAAGACTGACACAGGGCGATTCTTTATTGTTCTTTATTGTTTTACACCAATAGACAAAATCTTGCCAAACTGAGCATTCTACTATCTTCATTTACAATATACTCTGTGAACTATTAGAAATTATTTTCACCCTCTTTCTCTCAGACATAATATCTGGGCTGAGTTCCCTCTTACTTCTTTGGAATGTACTCCCCCCTTCTGCGAATCCACCTCCTTACTACATTCCATCACAGAGGGTTGCTACTAGACATTTACTGCATTTGAAGAATAAGAGTTAACAGCTCTTACTAGCTCAATGTTAAATCTTTAAAAAGTGCTATTTGCTGAAATTTCATAAAATCTCAAACTCTGATCCTATGCCATCAGTGTGCCACTATTTTAAATGTTGCATTAACTACAGTAAGTTGATTTCTTACCTTTCTCGTTTGTGAAGAGGCCTGACAAAACACCTCTTCTGAATTGTTTATAAGTGTGTAAAAGAGCATTAGCCATATTTAGAGAAGACAAATATAAATTTCATTTACATCATTTTGCGGTTGAATTTGCAAAGATAATTCCCTTTCTGAATATTGTGATGTGAAAATATAAGGAGAGGAACACATTCAAGGAGCTTTCAGAGTAAACAAAACCAGGATACACATGTTTTAATTAAGGATAGAAATTGTACAATTCTGGAAGTTACAACTTAATGCTCGACTTAGAGAGATGGTTGGGCAGACTTTGACAGTGCTTTCAGGTCCAAGAGGCATTTAGCTATATTCTCCTTCTCCTATAATATAGAAAAGAAATTAACATTTTAGTTGAAAGAACCTACAGAAAATATTCAAAATCTGGAGGTTAGTTTTGGAGTTCAGTGCATCTTTATGATTCTACAGTTGACTTCTGTACAAATACAAATTACATGCTATTAAATGCACAGAAACTTTAAAACATTTACTCTTGATTGAAATTAAGAATTTAAAATCAAGAATGAAGTTACTTAAATTGCATATGACCTTTCCAAAACTCAGTATTAAAAGAAAAAACATCTACTGCTCAGATATATATATATATAAAAAAAAGAACATACTTGGTTCTTAAATAAAGTCTTCAGGTCAATGAAGAAAAAATGTAACATAAAAAAATCCGTTCCTAGAGAATCTAATTGATATCATGAAAAATTTGACTCTTTACCCAATCCTCTCAGTCAAAAAGTCTGCTATCTTAAAATGTAGAGATATAAGATTTATGAAGACTGCCCTAGACCAATTGCCCTATATTTAGAAAAAACTATGTTGTTAAAGCATATTGTTGCTATATAAAGTAATCTTTTCAGCATGGAATGATATGAAAAAATAAGACAATTTTATAAGAGAAAAGTGTGCCTTCTTATCATATTTTAACATTTTCTCCATTGTAAGGAAAAAAAGATAATTAAACAAGCCTTTCTACTACAATTACAATGGAAAATTATCTCCAAACACAGTGATTAATCTCAAATTAAAAAAAAAAACTAAGATCAATACATCTCTCTACATTTGCTATTAAAGTTTGGAAAAACAGAAGTTATGGTTGATAACTGTGCATTTAAAGAAAACAGATTTTGGGCCTCTAGAGAAACAATTGCATTCTATTAATTTTATACAGAAATATTTAGAAAAACTTGCCACTCCAAATTCCAATGGAGAACCACATACTTTTATATATGCTTAACCATGATTTGTTGAATAACTCATACTTGGCTGAGTCTACAAGCCATGTTTTGCCAAACTTGTAAAATAAAGAACAAATCAAAGCAGTTTCGCTTAGAGACCAACATGGCTCTTAGCCCCAACTGAGTGATTTAACAAATAAGTTAAAAAGTAATAGTTATTATTCTAACAATGAATGACAGTGAAGTTCCCAATCTCTCAGAGTGTGGAATTTTGAGGTATATTATTGAGGGCTTTGAGAAAATAGCTACCATGGTGGGCATATTTACCATGACACACATATTACTAGAAAAGAAGCTTTTTTCCATGCTTCCTTTACTTTTAAAGAATGAGAATCTCAGTTTATATTTGTCTGTATTCCCTTCCAAATAAAGTACTGGGCTGTCATCCATAACTTTGTAATAAGGATTCTGAAGAGCCCAGCTGCTATGGAGAATCGAGTAACAAAGTTTGTACTTTGTTTTACAGCTTACTACATTTAAAGTAAATAAAATAAAATAACCAAGATTGAGAAGAGACTTATTACTTTTTGTAATTACTTATTATTTTGAAAATAATGGGCAGGTAGGAAAGTAATTATACTTTCCTACCTGCCCATTATTTTCAAATTGGAAAGTTGATATAATTCTTATTTGTAAGAACACATCACACAGCAACTTTGAAAATAAAATAGTATTTATCTATAGGCTAACATTTGTAGCCTATGACAGCCATTTGTGATACTACTCACAATTTTCCCTTATTCCCACTGGCCCAAAAATATTGCTTATTCCTGAATAAGTATCAATGGATAATATCTAAGTGTTGCTTTTGTTTGTATGTCTTGTTTACTTCAAAAAAGATCAACAAAAGGGATCTGCATGCTTTGAAATTAATTCAAAACTACATTAGAACTCAGAACTGTAGGATCTCTTTAGAGAAGCCAAGCCACATTTTTTTAGACTTCTGTGTGGCCATGAACACAGCAGTGTCTCTTTCCAGTCTGTGTGGAAGCTTGAAAAAAAGACATGGATGCTTTAAAGGAGGGCTCCCCAAGGTGGTCAATACTAACCCCCAAATGTTAATGTTGCTGTTATTATTATTGTAGGAGTATTATTAATTAAAGTAATATTTATTAAATTATTTTCATATAATATATATTTGGAGATCAATGAACAATCTGAAACTTTATAAAGAGGTTGATGAGCTGAAAAATCTCCAAGTCCAGCATATATTCTGAAAACCTCTTCTATGATTAATATGGTTCATCAACAAAATACAGAAGAGTAAAATCAATACAATGAAATATTAGTTCTAGATCAAGAAGATACATCTATTGCCCAACTGGGTAGATATAATAATTTTTCACTATGGAAGTAAAGGAAGGGAAAGCTAGTGGCCTTTCCAGCAGTCAAATGGCCACAAGCTACCTGTAAGGGAATATTTGCTAAGTACCTGTTGGGCAGTAACACTCTGCCAAACACTTTGTTCTACCCAATTGATCATATGATCTCGTTCCAGACGCCGCTTGAGCTGCTGTAATGCAATTTGATAATCTAGCCTCTTCTTCACTTCCCTGGATGCAATGAGAAGCCTTTCTCTATAGTTGGCCTCCAGGATCATAGCAATATTGTTCTAAAGTGACAAGAAAACATGAGATTCCTTATTATTTTGATTATCATACTTATGTGATATATTCAGTATTCATAAATAAGCAGAATATATAGATATGCAAGAAAAGCCACAAATTCAACCAATATGAAAATAATCCATATTCCCAAAGCAAGATATAAATGACAAGTTTAAACATTTGCTATTATCTTTTGCAGATTTTTATTTCTGACATCTCCTTTCTTCCAGTAATATGTAATCCATATAATATACAAGTAATCCTTGACTCATGACCACAATTGAGCCCATGTTTTCTGTTGGTAAGAGACAGTTGCCAAATTAGTTTTGCCTCCATTTTATGACCTTTCTTGTCACAGTTGTTATGTGAATCATTGCAGATAAGTTAGTAACATGGTTGTAAAGTGAATCTGGCTCCCCCACTGACTTCACTTATCAGAAGGTTGCAAAAGAAGGCCATAGGACTCTGGGGCACTGCAATCATCATAAATACATGCCAGTTGCCAAGTGTCCAAATTTTGATCATGTGACCATGGGGTGCTGGAATGGTCATAAGTGTGAGAAACAGTCATGTCACTTTTTTTAGTACCATCGTAATTTCACTAAACAAATGGTTGTAAGTCAAAAACTGGATCTGGCATTTTTATCCACCTACTGAATCCTTCCCAAGGACCTGGGATAGGCAGATGTTAATGTTTGATGGTGCTAAAGGTATTGTTGCAGGATGTAAGTTGTTCCAAGTAAAGCTGCCTTTTCCAAATCGATTTTGTCAATGCCAATGGTGTTCAAGTGGTGTTGCAGTGGTTTTGGGACTGTACCCAAGAAGCCTACTATTGATACTATTTTTGTTTTCTTTTGCCCCACTCCTTCTATTTCTATTTGTGCTCTTTGTATTTTGTTATCTTCTCTAGTTCTTTCTCTTCTATTCTGCTATCTCCAGGTGCTGCCATATCCACCATCCAGCCTTTTTTGTTTTTCTTATCACCAATTGTTCTGGGGTGTTATATAGCAGGGTTTTAATGTACTGGCCATACAATTCTTAGTCTTCCCATGTCTTTTTTCTGTTCTTCATTTGGTCTTCCTGCTGGCCAGTTTGATCTCTCCAGTACTTAATAAGCCTTCCTGGTAGCTTCACTGCATCTTACTCACTATCCTTCAGATATTCTTCCAATACCTTATTATTATTATTATTATTATTATTATTATTATTTAAAATTTAATTTTCAATTAGATTCACAATCTGGGACTGGTAAAAACTTAGCAGTTCATTCTAATCAAGGACCAAAAAGCTGTTAAAGTAGCGTCTAAGTATACTGGCAGTTCTGAGTAGGGTTTTTTTTTTTTTTTTTTGTTTTGCAAAGTCAGAATATTCAGGTCTAATAAGTTCAAAAATTCCATGTATCTAGGCCGCCCTGTGGGTATTGCTCCAAGGGCTCCTATTACTATTGGTACAACCCATTGATTTCTTTCTCCATAGTCACTCAGCTTCAATTTACAAATCACAATATTTTGTTATTTTTTCTAGCTGTTTCTCTTCAATTCGTGCATCACCTAGTACTGCAATATCAATGAACCACACTTTTTTTCTTTTCCACAATAGCGTTGTCAGGTGTGTTGTGGGCCAGATGTCTGTCTGCTTGGATCCGAAAGTCCCACAGGATCTTGACTTGCTCATTTTCAAGAATTTTGTCAATTTGGTGTTCCCAGTAATTTTTGCTGCATTCGAACCCAAACTTCTGGCAAAACTTCCAATGTATGATTTTGGCAACTCAATCATGACATTGTAGATAATCAGTCTGTGAGATTTTGCTGCAGACACTGATAAGGTGATTCACTGTTTCATCTTTCTATTACTGTTGTTGTTGTTTTCATACACACAGATGGCAACGGAATGAATATAAATCAAAAAGCATAATTATTTTAATTATTTATGATGAAAGTGATTAACTAGTGAAAAAAACACAAATGGTGATAGTTCATGTTTTGGTGATGTCAAGAGTGATTCCTGGGTGAAAAGTAAACATAGAAAAGTGCACAAGGAAAAGAAAACAATGGAAGAAATGAGTGTGAAAACAAAACAGAAAAGACATATGAATCTTGTATGAAAAAGTATTAGATGATTAAGTGCAATTCACAGAGCACAGGGTACCTGAATGAACCATTCTGTACCAGTTGTAGTTTTTTGTGCTCTTCAGGAACAGACCCATATAGAGTATTTCAGAACAGTTCAGCTATAACATGACTAAGGCATGAACTGAGTATTTCTCTCATAAATCACAAGTACTATCATAAAAATAAAACCATGTATTCATTATTATAATAGTTACCAGAGGGATTTGGTAAGACAACTTTATAACATCCAGAAGTTTGGATTTAACTTCTGTCAGCCCTAGCTGATTTGGACAAGAAAAGTGTTTGTGAGAGTTGTTTGCAAGTAATTTTTAGAACTGTTCCATTTCCTACTGTACCCGCTTGGCATCAAAGAGATAGTGGCGGCCCTCAAGTCTCCATTGCTCTTTTTTTTCCTCCTCAATTCCGTTCTGGCATCTATTTATATAAGCACTTTTTAAGTCCTCGTAAGCAGCATGTTCCTCCTACAATGAGAGAAGTATAAGCCAGTTTAATCCTAAAAGAAATCATAATGTTCGAAGTCTTTTGCCATATACCAATTTTACCTTGATACAATACTATTAGCAAAAACAGTATAATTACTTTTAAAAAATGAAATTAGATAAAAGATTATAAACACAAGCAATTTAACATCATAGGCTGCATTCAGATTGAATTCTGGTTTAACTGTTAACAAGAATACAGGTGGTCACTGCTCTCATTTGATTCCTTCTACCAGCAAGAATGGCCAAGCACATAAAGATGGTTACTTCTGTTTTATTTATGATAGACAGAACTGTGGTTTGTTTGTTAGAAGAAACTAGAATAATTAAGACCTATTTTCTCATTTTATGAGACAAATGTGGCAGAGCTCCCAGTTCATATAATGTTGAATAATACAGGAGACAGTGTTGTCTCTCCCTTTAGTTAAGTAGCAAGCAAGAATACTTTAAATTAAATTAAGCAGCTAATTATATCAGTTTGCATTTTTCTCTACTTGAATAAATAATATATGGGTGTATCATCCTGATTCAGATAATAACATTCCAATTGCATGACATGGCATCTCTTAATTCTGGACAACCATCACACACACACACACACACACGGAGGGAGGGAGGGAGGGAGGGAGAGAGAGAGAGAGAGAGAGAGAGAGAGAGAGAGAGAGAGAGAGAAAACTGGAATATTCAGATACATTAAATTCTGTAAGTTTTATTGGGCAGTTTTATTACCTCCTTGAAAGTCTTGACATTTCACAAATAATAGCACATTTCACAAATAATAGCACATGAGGATACACAGGCTAAGAAAGAAATACAGTTAGTCCTCGGGTTAGTCCTCGGGTTAGGACCATTCGTTTAGCGATTTTTTGAAGTTATGATGGTGCTGAACAAAAGGTAGTTACAACGACCATGTTTTCCCGAAAATAAGCCCTATCCCGAAAATAAGCCCTAGCTTGATTTTTACATGTGTGCCTAGTATAAGTCCTACCCCATAAATAAGCCCTAGTTAAGATCTGTGGTTGTAAGAGGTGGGGCGAGGCGCATGCGTAAAAATAAAGCTAGGGTGGGGATGGGGGTGGAGCTGCCCCATGTGCCCTGCATCCGCTTACCCCAGGGCCCCCGCACCCAGGCCACTCGTCGCTCGGTGACCTCCCCCACCAGTTCAATGACCCGGCTGCCCACCCGCCTCTTCCCTTTCACTCTCCTCCCCTCCAGACTGCCATGCTACAGAGGATGGGCCTTACCTGGGCCCCCTCCACCATTTCGGAGCCAGGGGGGAGTGACAGCAAAAGGCTTTGCCCTTTGCTGTGCAATAGCCGCTTCTGCCTCTGGAGGGGCTTTCTTCGGTTCCTGCCACTCCCACTTCGCCCTGCAGATCACTTGCCTGACTGCAGCCACCACCTTCTTCTCCTCCGCCAACTCTCCTGTGGCTTGCGCTGTAACCGAGGGGCGCAAGCCTCCCCTGCTTCCTCCCTCCGCCAGTCTTCTGTCATCGCCACTGCACTTTGTTGCCACCCTGCATCGACCCGTGTCTCCCTTCTGGAAATGGCAGCCCTGTTTCCTGCTGCTTTCCTCCTGGTAGACGGGAGGACGCTTTGTATGGAAGAACGCTAAGTTCTGAGATAACTAGGGCAGCTGAAGCTGGGCAAGGAAGGCCAGGCTCCCCTTCACCGATAGTTCTGCAAAACCTTTTGAGGAGCGGATCTGCTTCCCGCAGGGTTGGCCTTGGCACCCGCTTCAGACGGCAAACAGAAGAGCTTTGCTCCAGGAGGCCCTTTGAAATTGTCCCCCCCCCTTCACTTTTCTGCCTTAAAATCTAGAGCAGACATGTTTTCTTCCTCATCAGCTGAGGATACGGTAGCTAGGATTTTTGTAAGAAGCTGAGTGTACCGATATGTGTGAGTCCAGCCCCCTCCACATGGGCCAGCCCTGTGGGAAGCGGATCCGCTTCTCAAGAGCTTTACAGAACCATCGGGGGAAGGGAAACCTGGCCTTCCTCGCCCAGCTCCAGCTAGCATAGTTTTCCTGGAGCTTAGCATCCTTCCATACGAAGCATCCTTCCTTTCCTCCCTTCTGCCGGGAGGAAAGTAGCAGAAAATGGGGCTGCCATTTCCAGAACAGAGAAGGGAGATGAGGGCCGATGCAGAGCAGCAAGGAAATGTGGCAAGAAAGTGTGATGGCAGCGACAGAGGGCTGGCAGAGGGAGGCAGCAGGGGAGGCTTGCGTCCTCCCCCCAGTCACGGCGCAAGCCACAGGAGAGTTGGTGGAGGTGGTGCCTGCCAACGGGCAGGTGATCTGCAGGACGAAGTGGGTGGTGGTGACCGAAGAAAGCCCCTCCAGTGGCAGACACGGCTATTGCGCAGCGGTGGCAGATCCTTTCGCTGACACTCGCCCCTGGCTCCAAAACAGCGGATGGGGACCGGTAAGGCCCATCCTCCACAGCATGACAGTCCGCCTCAGGAGGAGAGTGAAAGGGAAGAGGCGAGTGGGCAGCCGGGTCATTGAACCAACAGGGGGAGGTCAGCGAACAGGGAGTGGCCTGGGTGCGGGGCACGTAGGGGAGCTCCATTCCCCCCAAAATAAGACGTTCCCCCAAAAATAAGAACTAATGCATTTTTTGTGTAAAAAAATAAAATAAAATATAAAACCAGGTCTTATTTTCGAGGAAACACGGCAGTCTTTGAAGTACTATTAGTGACATGTGATCAAAATGAGCACTAGGGCTAGGCGACCAGTCTGCATTTACTTCATAGCATCCCAGAGTCATTTTCTCCCGCCATATGAGAACCATCCAACACCCACCTATCTCCCCCAATTCTGCCCATTTGGACACCTTGCATTCACCACCCACCATGCCATTGCCATCCCAGCTGACCTTAACCATTTTCTTCCTCCAACTGCTGGCCTGGGATCCATGTGCTTTGCAAAGATGCATCCCTGGACATGTGTGGCAAGGTGACAGAGCCTTGTCTGCCAAAAGGCCAGCCACTTCCATCTCTCTCTCCACATACTTCTGCCCTTTCAGCCATTGTAGATTCTGCCACCTCCATTCCCAGCTGGCCTTCTCCCCTTCTTTCTCCTCCTGCTTGTCTGGGATCTAGGCACTGAATGAGGATGCAGCCCAAGGATATGTACTGTGAGCGTGGCAGATCAGCAGAATATTATATGCCAAAGAAAGCTTACCAGACCCAGCAGGGAATAGGCAAGGCAGCATTTGTTGGCAGGGGATCCCCATCTTCTACTGCCAGTGTGAGCAGCAAGATCCTGCAGACCATGGAGTGTAGCAGGACAGGGTGGTGAAGCACAGCACCCTCATTTGCTGAGCAAAACAGGAGAGGCAGCAGCAGATCCCTGGGCAAAGGTGGTTATTGTGCAGGAGGTGCTGTTCAGGATGGCAGTGGAATTGGAGGAAGCAGAGGATTGAGGGCTTCCCAGAGGCACAACACATGCTCTCCAGGACTTTTTGGAAATGCTCCTGAAGAACCAGCTTGTGAGCTTCAATGAGGGATGGACATGAGCCCAAAGAGCCTACCCACACACCCTCTGCTCACTCAGTCCAGGCTTACTCTTGCAAAGCCGTGTAAAGGGCCAGCAGCTTCCAATGCACGCTGTGGAATATATATTGGGAAACACTCCTGGAGAACTAGCATGTGAGCTTCAGCAAGGGGGAGAGGTGAGCCCAGCACCAAAAGAGCCTACTCATTTCCTACTGTTCTACCACCACCTTGAATAGTACCTCTCTCCTGCACAGTCGCCATCTTTGCCCGGGGAGCCACTTCTGCCTCTCCTGCCCCACCCAGCCACAGAGCATGGTGTGTTTTGCTGGCCTGATTCACTGCGCTGTTCACAATCTGAGGGCTTGTTCTTTGCATTGCAAAATGGGGCTCCTCCACTATCCTACCCCATTGCTCATCTGCCAGCTTTGTTCTGTACCTCTCCAGCCTAGTCTGGCAAGCTTCCTTCAGCAGACAAGTCTCTGATACACTCCCAGGGCTATGGCCTTTCCCAGCACCTGGATTCCAGGCCAGCACTGAGAGGAAAAGAATGATGAAAGTCAGTTGGAACAGCGAAGGTGGCAGCAAAATACAAGGCAGACAAAAGAAGCAAGTGGGGAGAGGTGAAGCAGAGGAGGTTCGAACAGAACAGAGAATAAAGTCCTTGTCTAACAACCACACGGTCGTGGCCTAATGACTGCAATCTGGATTGCAAGCATTGCTATCACTAAGCAGTGTAGTCATATGATGCTTTGCTTAACAACTGCTGCTCTTAGTGATGCAAATTCCAATTCCAATTAGAACTATCTGCGAAATAATTTTGAATAACATAAAATTGTGTTACAATCCTATACATGTTTATCTAGGATGCAGCCTGGATGAAAATCATGGAATTAGCCTGTGTAAATACATGTATGATATTTTTGTCAAACTGCTTGCCCTTACAAATCTGGGTTTTGCAGGGCTGTACAAACCTGGATATTTGATAAGGCTTTGGGAGGATATTAGTTTGGGTCTGCCCCTGATGGATATAATTTTTATTCTATTATTTTTGTCTTTCTTTTTGTTGCTTTTAATGCACTGTATTTTCCTGCAAATGATTCACAACTAGCCTACAGCAACTAGAAATCGCAGTAGTAAATAATTAAAATAGGAGTTAGAAAGACCACTTAAATTGGGAGGTATTTATTACCATAATAGTGCTTGCAAATACCAAAATGTATTCTGTATTCTAAAAATACCTTTAAAATGCCTCACATTATGCAGAATATATTAAATTATAATATTCCTGGGAATATACCAACAACAAAATAAGCTATTAAACAAAGTATAATAAAACTGAAGCACTATACTTACGTCCATTGTTTTGTCAAGAAAAGCTGCTACAACAGGACCATACTTCTTAATTCCATAGATTAGTAAACCCACAATAAGAACACCAGTTATTGTTTCATGATTTATTATATAAATTTCCTTAGACAGGAAGTAGAGTGTCAATCCAGTTGCAAGCATATATGGACCTAGCAATAAGCAAAATATAATATTATACAGAGGGCAGAAACACTCAATATAATGGAAAGGAGCTAAAATGATCCTCAAGAATATTCTACACATTATCTTTCCCCCGTATTAAAGTGCAAGAGGCAAAAGGTATTGCTCTTGAGGCAGGTCACATAAGCCTGAAACAAGAAATGCAAACCTTAATTTGACGTTTCTTCTTTCAAAATTTCATCAAGATATAGCAATTAAGCAATTTTAATAAGCAATTAATAATTTTAATAATATTAAAGTAATATTTCAGGGACTTTATCATTTTACCACTTTCTCTAAAATGCTACTGGTTATATGAATCAGTATTGACTCCTGGTGACTGCCTGGGCAAGCCTCTGTAGTTTTCTTGGCAAGATTTCAGAAGGTGTTTGTTATTGCCTGCTTCCTAGGACTGAGACAGAGTGCATAGTTCAAGGTTGCTTTTGCCTAAGGTAGGTTTAGACTTTACAGACTCCCCGTTCCTTAGCTTGGTGCTTAATCACTACACCAAATTGCCTCTGTAATCATAATAGAGTCAACTTGATAAAAGGAACAAGAAGGGCTATGCTAACTTTGAAATGAGTCGATACACAGATAACCATAAAAACATTTGTCCTTTTTTTAAAGAAAAATTGCAGAACTGTTTCTCCCTTAAGATAGCTAACCATCTCACCAAGTCAGATGGGATGGGTGTGCCCCAGGTCCCATCCCATAATTGTTGTCATATAGCAAGACCCAGAAAGCATATCTTCTCCATTCCTGCTCCTGCCCTGTGGAACACCATTCACTCAGAAACCCATAAGGCCTTGGCACTTCTGCAAATATTGGGGTAGAACAAAGCTAAAGTCGGGAAAGGTAGAATGCTGATATGTGGGAATGTGTCACCCCAGACTGTCAGTTTTAATTGTGGTTATCTGGCTATCTGCTAAGAATAAATACATTCAAATACATTCAAAAATTAATTGCACAAGCCTGCATTTGCCACAAATAAGTTTAAATGCATAATTTAAAAATCAAATCACATATATATTCATAATATTTATCATTTCACTGCCAGTGACTAGTATAATAAAATATCCTGGCAGTAAATCCATTAATAATGACAGCATCTGAATATTCCATAATGTATATATAAAATACTTTGAAAAAATCAGGAATTAAGTGTACTAAATAAATGCTACAATAGTTTCAAAAGTACCTGTGACTCCTGTTTTAGGATATAAAAACTGGAAAAACTCTTCAGGGATTATTCCATGGCGAACTTTTCCTCCTTTCTCTGGAAGAGATGGCACAGGAGCCAAGTGCTGTTGACTTGTGTGAAGTGATCTTGATGCATGAATTACGCTGTAATTAAAAAAGTCATTTAACATCTTTGCTAAATATTGGCCTCATGTTCCATAATTTTGCTAAAAATAACCAGACATAAGTAAATGCAAATAAAAAAGATAAAAACTTGCATAACGAATACCATGAATACACATATGATTTTAAGGAGAAATACAAATATTTTAATCAATTATCACTATGCAAAATTACATTTGCACAAGAAAATTGATTACAAAGACCATCTTTCAGATAGCTAATGGGGGACCAGACTTGAATAAATGTATCCTCCACAGTTCGTTTTTCAAAACTGGACTGCTTGTAGCCAGAGCAATTCACTACATTTTTTAATTCCACCTAACTACCGAAAGGGTGGTTTTTTTTGTTTCCCATATTTTGTGATAATAAATCTGCATCAATGTATAAATCACAGTAAAGATGGTCAAGAGCCGCTGACCAACTGCAGGGTTCATTGCAATTTCCCTATTTCATCTATCACAGTGTTTCTCAACCTTGACAATTTTAAGGCATGTGGACTTCAACTCCCAGAATTCCACAGCCAGCAATGCTGGCTGTGGAATTCTGGGAGTTGAAGTCCACATGCCTTAAAATTGTCAAGGTTGAGAAACACTGAATTCTAACACTTTCAACCAAAAGGCCTTTGCCATCCAAATGAGGATATTCATGTGGCGTGTGGTTCACTTGAGGCAGGAACAAACCGATTCTTAACAGAGAAGACCCAGATGCCCACTGCCTTTCAAGGCCATCAGCGCGTCCCATTCCCTTTCCCACTGACCCCAGCTATACTCACCCCGATGACAGGGAGGGTAGAGCCACTGAGCTCTTCAGGCCGGCTGGGGCTGCAGAGAGCAAAAGAGCAGATCAGGTCACAGTGCAACCCCCACCCCGGCCTCACGCCCCCCTGGCCTCCCCTTTCTCATTCACTCACCCAGGACACGCAACGCCAACCGAGAGAGCATCCTGCCTTCCCCCAGCACTGCCCGACGTCCCTATGACCCCCGGCCACAACACTAAAATGGCCGCCCCCGTCACGAGAGTCTCGCGAGAAAACCGGACTCGCGCTATATCCTCCTAGCACCGCCTCCGACTCAGCGGCTATCACCATAGAGCTAGGCTAATACAACTGAGAGTAATTAAAAAAAGCTAAAAAAAACCCAAACCCGTGGAACTAAAAAAAGTTCGACAAGGACATCTATTGGTGATTGCGGGACTGTATTTCGTTGATGCGAAATATTATGCTCGTTTGAGTTTGAGGGAAAACCTGATGAGAACATTTTAAACAATTGGAAAATTGATACTATAAAACACAGTGGTTCATATCACCCCACAACTTAAATATACCATTGTTCTCATTTTCCAGGCTGTTGGTGAGATCAGCTCAAGGCAAGGCAATGCCACTATTTTATTTATTTATAAAACATGTCTATATCATCTTTCACCTCTAAAAGGTGTTGTTACAATCAAAACCAGTTGTTACAATCAAAATCAAAATAAATGAGCAATTATGTAAAACACATTCCCCTGCTGTTGTGCTTGCAGTGCAAAGCTGAAGGTGAAATTTTATTTATGAAAACTTGATAATGTACCAGGAAGTCCCAAGGTACAGCTATTTAGAACACTATAGTAAGATAGCCAACTTTCAGAATTCAACGTGATTACAGCCATCTAATACATCTACCCAAGTCTTACAACAATCGCATCTGATAAATGTCAGTTCAAATTACATTGGTAGATTGGAGAGGAATACTACAGACAGAATGCAATTTAACATTTTCACTTAGACTTTGGAATGGAATCACTTGGTTCCAGCTCTATAGAATTTAATTATATGGTCTAGGAAAATATCGCGAGAAAAGCATGCAAAGGCTTGAATTCCGCCTGGGAGTATTTTGGAAGTTCTCGCGAGATAAGGGAGAGTATTATCGGGGCGGTTACGGGTGTCTTTTTGGAACACGTGGGCGTGCTTGGAGTTTGCTGGATCGCATTTCACTGCTGCACCTATGGAAGAAGCCAAACCGAGTCCCGGGCATGGAGTGGAGACAGAAACCGGACCCGAATGGAATATTCCGCCCAACGCTCCCGCCTGCATGGAGCGCCACCTGGACGGGGCCCATTACCGATCAGGTACCCCATGCGTGTTTACCAAGTTGGTATCCCCAAACGCCTTTTGTTACAACTCATCACCATCACCGCCTGGGAATAATGGCAGGTGTAGCCCGAACATCTGGAAGGCGACAGGCTGCGGAAGCCTGTAGCCTGCATTTCAGAGATGTTGCGATCTTTTACGCGGTTCTCGTGGCTTGGAACCGAGGCTTGGGAACCGAGATGTCGGGTGCCCAAGTTATCTTTCTCCTGAACTTCGCTCTCAACTGAAGCCTCTCTTAAATTGGCTATTTCTGTCATATGAGCCGAGTTGATATATTTTATGCAACATTCATTATACGCAATTTAAATCTGTCTTCTTTGATGTGTTTATAATTTATATTCGCCTTTTTTTTAAAAAAAAATGGCAGAAACCTAACAAGAATTATCCTGCGAAGTTCTGAATCATTACAGAGTATAAAACTCTTGCTGTAGGATCAGTCTTCCCACACTTCAGACTCCAGCTATCCTTACCTACAATTCCCAACCTTCATAGCAAGTGATGAGGATTGATTGTAATAGTTGCAGAAATCCTAGTCTGATATAGGCAAGGGTACTCTAGATCAGGGGACCCCAATTCCCAGTCCGTGGACCGGTACCAGCAACCAGTCTGCACAAACAAGCAAAGACCCATCCGTGAGATATAGGCAGCACACAAAACTACGCACCCTCCGGTCCATGGAAAATATTCTCTCCACAGAACCGTTCCCTGGCGCCCAAAAGGTTGGGGACCTCTGCTCTAGATCACGATCTCAACGTGTGATCTCAAATAATATTTTAAAGTGTCTGTTTCAATTTTGAATACAGTAAATATCAATAGATACAACCTGGCTATATGAAAGCTCTTGAGGTCCTCAATACTTGTAAGAATGTAAACTGCTAGTAGCAACCACTGTGCTTTGGTCTGCTTCTATAGTTGTGTATTAAATATTTGTGTGTAGTGCATTATGCTTAAACCTGGACAACACTCAGGAAAAGCAGCTTTCTCCATAGGTGAAGGTCCCCCCCCCCATGTGAATGTTGATTGAAGGGCACCTCTTATGCTCAAAAGGCACTTTTTTATCATTAAAAGGTGGATAAACATTTGTCATTAAAAAATCAGATTCAAACCTTATGAGAGTTGAACAATCCTCTGGTCCTTTTTTAGTTATAAAAAATCTTGAGTAACAGTTTGGCAAACTCTTGAGTCTAAATTTCCACCTTGACAAACAGCTAGATCATCTTTGAATAAACTCACTTCTATTACAGATTTTTTTCTATTGTCTTGAAATATACCTTTATCCTCAGCATTCCATTAGCTGCTTCATATTTTTATAATTTTTATACATAAACTCATTATACACTTTTTGGTAAATTGAGAATATAAGCAAAAAAGCCCCTTTACTTTCCTCCCTCACTTTGAGTAGAATCCAAAACTGGACTAAGAATTTAGGAACAAAAATACATTTTCTTTATTGGAGCAGTTCTCTGCTGAAAAACAAAGGTGCTGGGTAAAATGTAAAACTCAAGTTTTTGTATACTTTATTCATTATACATTAAATATATTTATTACACTAATCTCTGTTTTAATTCTGCTTTTCAGATGGTTCTCTGCTCCTGGGAGCATCCAGTTTGAGTGGACGTTGCTGGGTTGGTTCCATTTGGGTATTCAAAGATACATCAAGAGCTCCTAATGAAGGATTTTGCTCTGCGGGTGTTCAAACTGAAGCAGGAATAGCAGATCTGAAGTGGGTAGCAGACAAAGGAATCTTGGTAGCGTCAGATTCAGGTGAGTATCAAAAGATATTTGTCTCCTAAAACTTGTTAGGGTTTAAAGATGGTGTCAAAGATAGGATGAAGTTTCCTAGCACATGTTGATTTAAGAATGTTGAAAACTACTTCCCATATTGGAAGAATCACTTCCAAAAAATAGCAGAATGATCCGATAGAAAATCAAAATATTCTGGAAGAACTGGACGATGGAGTTTGGATACAAAATGCAAGCTTGAGATTTTGCTTTATTTCTTTCTTAAAGCCAGTGACAAACTAAAAGTGTCTGCTTGTCTCTGCCTTTTTTGTTCCATATGTGTGATCTAGCGAAACAATCAATGATGTAACAATTATTGATATTTCCTGTGAGTGCTTGAGCAATTTCTTGTTTTGTAATGAAGCTGCATTTTATTGTAGTTTAGGTTATCCCATATTTCAATGAACATTTGATGGAACAAATACCACATATATCACAGCTGAGCAATTTGATTACTATTTAATTTTGACACACTGCTCAATACTGAAATCTTTCAGTTGATTTTTTTTCTAAATGCAGACGTTAGAAACATTGATTATAGCAAACTTAAACATATAAAAATAACTGTTAAAAATAAACTTTTAAAGACTGACAGAAACATGTGCTTTAATGGGGTTTTTAAAAGCTAATGGAAATATTAGACCCATATTTGCAAGAAATGTGGTCTAAAGAGCTGAGACTGTAAAAGAGAAGGCTTGGTTCCAAATCAGACAAACTCTTAGCAACTTTAACCACACTAAGGTAGACCATCTGTAAAAGATGGATGTTCATATGAAATGAGGTGTTCTGTCAGATAGCCTGGATCTAAGCCTTATAGGGCCTTAAGGGACATAAGGGGTCCTTTATATTTTGCCCAAAAACAAATTGACAACTGGAGTGCTTTAAGCCCAGATGTAATATGGTCTCTTTACATTTTTAACAGGACAAGCCTAGCTGCCAAGATGTATACAAACTGAGGTTTCTGGACTAGACATAGCCCCTTTTAGGGCTTTTTTCCCTAAGACGATTAAACAATGCAAGTTGCAGAGTATGAATTTGACTTTCTTCTTTCCTATTCCTCAGGTGCTCTGGAATTTTGGGAGCTGGATGAGAATGAGACTCTGATAGTGAACAAATTCTGTAAATACGAGCATGATGACATTGTGACAACTGTGAGTGTTGTTTCCAACAACACACAGGCCATCAGTGGCAGCAAAGATTTCAGGTGACTCTCTTGTGCAGTTGTTTTTCTGCTTTATATAAAAACATCTATATTCTTTCATAAATCTCATCTGACTTTTATGTCTAGTGTGAAGATCTGGGATATTCCTCAACAAACAGTACTCGGCACATATAAAGGTAAGAGCCAAACTTGCCAAATATTTCCTTATTCAATTATTTCTTTCTGCCTTTCTTCCCAAGTAAATTGCAAGTGATTCACCTTTGTCCCAGTGTATTCTCATATGGGAAGATTGATGACAATTATCTCAATCTGATCAAATAAACTTCATGAATGAACAGAGATGAATCAAAACGTCTTCCTTCAACACACTGGTATCCAGTTACTTGCTTTTCTCCATTTACAGTCAGTGCATCTGATTTTTGTCATAATTTGTGCTCTGTGATTAGCAACTTTGACAGAAGATTGGTGTGCTTTCAGACACCCAGTAGTTTTCAATTTTTGTTGTGATAGGTTTACTGTTTTTCAAGTAGTCTTATCAATCCATTTGTTTTTTTTTTTAGCTGAAATCATCTCAGCAGGGTGAAGACTGTGCTATCCATGCTGGACTTGGCTGATTTGCTCCATTTTATAGGGAGTTTGGAAGGAGTAGCCATGTAGCTGCTGGTTTTCCTTTGTCTGAGCCATATTTCAAGTTCTGTCCAGCATGGATTAGAAACAGAAAGTTATATAAAATTTTTGAACTGCTTGGGTATGTAAAATTTACTGCAAGACAACTAGATCTGAAAAAAATGGGATATTAAAATCAGAAAGAGGCACCCCAATTTCAGTTTTTAGCAAGGGTTATTACTCTACTTAAGCTGACACATGAGATGACTCAACATTATGAGCCATAACTGTTATTTAGGAGATAATCCATGAGAATTTTTTTTACCTCTTAATTT